TACCAATAAAAACTCCCAGGCCGGATATTTTGGTAAGTAATAGAGATATTTTAATTCTGTAAAAGCCAGTTCATAGAGCGCTAAGCGAGCTTCAGTTTAAGATATTACTTAATTTTAAATAGGTCAATAGGTAGATGGCGCTGCGCTCAATATATTTTTTTCGATGGAAGGATCTTTCTTATTTAACGCATCTTGTAAAAAATGCATTTTTAAGCAGATTTTGTTCTATAAACTAATTCGATAAATCTAGCCATTTTTGATATACAGAGTGGGTCACTCAAAATAGTTTCATCCTGTTTTTCGGTATTAATCATTGGATTTTTAGAAAATGCTATAACATGTCGATTTTTATTCACAATTAAACACATTTTTACAATACAGACATCTGTCATGTGTCAACCCCCTCTCTTCTACTCCTCCAACCCCTTAATTTTAGTATTAGTTTTAGTATTTTCTTAAAATTCAATGATTAATTCTGAAAAACAGGATAAAACTGTTTTGAGTGACCCACTCTGTATATCAAAAATGGCTAGATTTATCGAATTAGTTTATAGAACAAAATCTGCTTAAAAATGCATTTTTTACAAGATGCGTTATATAAGAAAGATCTTCCGATCGAAAAAAATATATTGAGCGTAGCGCCATCTACATATTGACCTATTTAAAATTAATTTATATCTAAAACTAAAGCTCTCTTAGCGGTCTATGAACTGGCATTTACAGAATTAAAATATCTCTATTACTTACCAAAATATCCGGCCTGGGAGTTTTTATTGGTACACCCTGTACATATAGAACCTATATACATATAGAACTTCGGGCACGATATGTATTGGACTTTGAGGCAAATAAATCACCTCCTACCCTCTTTCCTCCCACATTACAAGACAGATTAACATTTTTTTTTAATTAGTCCCAAAAGTAGCACACCTTTGGGTTCTGGAGATTTTCGATCCACCCCCCTGTTGTTTAGAGGACCAAAATATAAGACAATTTGATATTCGTTACTACCTTCCCCTCCTACAAAAAAAAGTAGGCAATCGATTTTATAACAGATATTAGTTAATGGAACGGTATTATATTGTCTGACGTTCTTTAGAAGGGACCATTATGATCACAAAGCACGTATCTTCTAGAGACCCCACGCCAATGTTACACTTTTAAACCAAATTAGCGCCACTTTGAGTTTGAAGCAGGAACTAAAATGACAATTGACAGATGGCGGTAAATTCAAATTGTAATTTTTAGTAGTAGGTAGTAGTTTCAAATTAAATTTTAAATAATTTCCACATAAATTATTTTATAAAATAAAGTATGGAACTAGTAAGTTCAAAACTTTTATTTTACAAAATAATTTAGATCGATTATGCCAAATTTGAAGAATTAATTTGTTATAAGGGGTCTGATGTGGAGAATTGGTTCTGCATATTAATATTAAATAAGTATAAGATATATCAATAAATAATAAAATAGAACATTCTTAAAATATGTTTATTAATAACATAAATATTTTTAGATAAAAATAAATACAAATAATAATACATTTGACGAATACTTACTTGGAGCAAATAGGTGTACAATCTCAAATCTCTAAAATATCAATACATTAAATGTAAAGTGGAGACTAGGATATTACATTTTATTAACACTAAAGTAATATATTTTATAAATGTCTTTTTAACCGAGTACAAATGAGTCCCCTAAATGCAAAAATCGGTATTTGCTAGTTACAAAATTTTTCAGGAAGGGCAAAAACTATCAGTAATTAAAATTCATATGTAGTCGTTTTAAATTTTTTTTTTTTTTTTAATTGGCTCTAGTGATTTTGTTTTGAAATATATATGCTCTTTAATTCGAAATTCTACCAAAAATTAAAAAAATACTTTTAAGGGTCGATCTTTTCACCGCTGAGTAAAGTTACATGTAGGTTTACTTGGCAGATTTCCAAACAATAGCCCTATAGTTTAATCAGCAAGTAGTTACTTTCAACTTTACTTAGAGGTGAAAAAACTGGCCCTAAAATTAAAATACCGAGTTTTACATTTATGCATTTAAGTGCATGGTTGTCTTATTTTAGAACATTTATTTTTTTATATATATATTTTTTTTTTTAATGATTAAAGATACAAAAATATAAATTAAAACATTTTTACTAGGTGAAAACTGACAAAAACTGGGAAAAAACAAGCGAAATTACTTCTGGCCTTTTCAGTATCCAAACAACAAATGAATAAATTAAAATGTCTACTTGTCTGTGCACTTACTTAATCACGTGACTATTAGGCGTAACACCATTGGCAGCAGGTTACAATTACATAGTTTTGCATTTGACAAGTAAAGGCAAATACAGAGTTTTGCATCTAATCTTTGTTTTCTTAAGAAATAGAGAGTTTTATTTCTTATTTTAGCAGAAGAATGGTAGAGTTTAAAATAAGGAATTGAATGGCGCCAAAACATTACTTATGAAAATTTCGACAAATACCGAGTTTTGCATTTAGAGGGCTCAAATGTAATATAGGTATTGGATTAAAAGGTGAATCCTTTTAACTATTTATTCAATGATAAATAGGTATTTTCCTTCCAAATACAGATGGTGAAAAATGATTTGGGAATCTAGTCCAGTGGTAAATAGATTATCAATTAGTTGTTGTATCCGTTTGTCTTTTTATGATGCATGGTGAATCAACGAAGTTTTTCTTGAAGTTTTCAACGTAGCACCAAAATTATTGCAAAACACAGTAGGAAATAGAAAAACGAAACATCACAATTTTTGCAAATAACTAAGAAGAAACTATAAACAGAAACCAAAAGCCAAAGCCAACAAAAAATCACTAAAATCAAACGGAAAACAGAATAACCAAAAACAATAAATACACGTCATATCTTTGGATTCTTTGGTTAAGTTTCTCACCCATAAAAAATAGTAGCCCCATCTAGAGTTTGGAGTAAATAGCATAAAAAATGTCAGTTGTCGGTTTTGACCTTGGTCATTCACGTGGAACCTCTATGTGCTTTGTGATTATGATACCTCAAAGGACAAGTCACCCCCCCTAAGTATGCGTAGGATGGGGCGAAGCATTTTTTTTTATAATTAGGCATTCCAACGACCTGTCAAACAATATGTGCCAGTGGGAAATTCTTGTATATCTAAGTGGGTAACGACATAGTCTTGCAACTTGCACGCTATTTTTATTCGAAGTAGTAGTCGCCAAGCCTGCCAATTTATGAAGAAATGTATAGGTAGGTTTTTTAAATATTATTTTTATTGTGTTTGACATAAAATATTTAAATGTAATCCATTATTCATGATTTTACTTAAAGTAGATAGAATACACCGTATGTCGCCACCCTGCTTAGATATACCAAACCTTCCCACTGGCAATTCATTTGTTTGGAATGCCTAATTCGGGTATTTTGGGATCTGTATAGCTAATTAAAAACTAATAAAAGTTCGAAGAGTAGACCGACCTTTTTCCCCCATCCCTTTCTTATACTCTTTCTCGGCTGTTATTTATTGTTTTCGATATATTTCATGACAGGGTGCAAGCTGAAGTTGGATATAGTAGAGCGATATGGGGACTACCCACACCCAACCCCCTATTTATAATAGGTGCCTTAAGAGTAACCTTTTAATACCTCTTTTTCAAAAATCGTCAAAAGTGACTTCGGGCGATTTAGACTATTTATTTTCTTAAAGTAAAAAAAAATGACATCCTGTAAAGTATTCCCCAGATAATTCGACTATGCCCAAACTTTAATCAGCTCACCACAGAATGAGTTAAGGCTTAAGTTTAAAATTTGGTGTTTTTCTCTTCATCCGTTTTTGAGTTATCTTCAAAACTCGAAATTTGAACTTTTTCTCAAATATCTCAAATTAGGTCCATTTTAGGGAAATCATTTAAGGGAGAAGATAATATTAGAAAGAATGTCCTCATAAGCAGCTTTTATCATGATTCTTATACTTTCCTTATCTGTACGGGAAAGTAAAAAATGGCTGTGACCGTATTTTTTGCGATATATTTAAAAACATATTTTATTTATTTATAAAAAATACTTTTATCCATTAAACAGATGGGTGAAGGTCGACCTTACTTTCGGACCCTGAACTAAATGGGACGGAAGGGCGGTTTGGTACCGCAAATTTTTTTTAAATACCCTGTGTTTTCCTTAAATTTTCAATAATGATTGTGGTCGAATTTCGACTACTGAGCGAGCATCACTTTTCATAAATCCCTAATGCAACCCTGTTGATAAGCCCGATCACATTAGGTATATAATATATCTGCCTAATATACCTGCGTGTATTAACTAGAATAAAGTATAATAGATATCTATGTAGGACCGAGGGTAGTATTCTCGAATCACGAATACCGACATTCGCATACGTGTTTTGCAATGTGTCTCACTTTGTTGAACGAAAACCAAGTGAGACAAATCATAAATCTCGCATGCGAATCTATATTCGTGACTCGAGAATACTACCCCGAGGCTAAAAAGCCAGGTGAAGCATGACAGAAAACTGAGAATTGCTGATAAGGTTATTTTTGAAATCAAATCATAAAATTATACTAAGTAAATTAAAAGAGTTTCTGCGAAACAGTCCTTACACAATTATATACCTAGTTGCTAGATAGTTGTTTTCAATGACAAATATTAATAACTTTTTGACTACGTACCTTTGTTTTATTGTAATACCAGAAAAAATAATATCTTGTATTGCTGTTTTTATATAAAAATATAAATTAAACCATTCATCACTGAGTTTATACATCTTAATATACACACGCGGAATATGGGTTGCCTAACATTCAGGATTGAGAATATCAATTAATTATATATTTGGAAACAGCTGACAAATTATATATATCACAAAATTATAAATAATGCATAACAATAATATAATTATTGTCTTTCTTTATGAAAATTTATTGATGGCATTATTGTAGGTACATTTAAATAAATGTACCTATATTTTGTTTGACAATTAAAGTGTCTGACATGACATTCAATTATTCAAAATTCCAGCATGTCAGTAACAAATTAAGTAATCGCTATCATTTCAAGTAATTTTCATTCGGCATCAGAAGAACTCAAAAACTAACTGAAAACTGAAACTAAAAACCGTACGTGACTGAAATTCAAATAGCAGCGGGAAAAGCTACACATTTCATTGTAGCCAACTTCATGTCATCACGAAAAATGGCGTTCATATTGATTAACACCACAATTAACTGTAAGAAACGTAAAATTTTGAGCTTTTTAAGCAGTTTTATTGGTATAAAGCGATGTTTTTAACAAGTATGCATGCTTCTATGTTTATCATTTAGTTAATTTCACCAAATTATATGCTTTAGGAGCTAATTTTTTGCACACCGTCCTTAGGCATAATGTCAAGCCACTTTTTAAGATTAATCTGCATGTATTCATTTAATACAAATTTTGAGTTTACTAGTTTCATTTTTAATGTTCATATTTTTATACATTAAATAATATTGATTTGTTGTAAATTTGAAACTACAATTTGTGTTGGGTATATAGGTAGGTTATTGTTACCGAATCTCAAGGTATTTCTACCTGTCAACTAGGTCATTTTTGCGTTTTCTAAAATTACCAAAAGCTATTTTTGGAGTAATAAACGCATAGAAAAAATTGTTCTCAAATTTTTTTAGAATTACTGTAAATTTAAAAACACCAAATCTCCATACAATTGATTAGGTAGGTATTTTAAAATCGTGTGTCAAAAGCATTTAAACATTGTGAATTACTGTGAATGTACATTTGTGAAACTATGCATGTCATGGTAAATGAATTTAACGATTATTTATTTTCGTCTGGTAAAGGTTTTGTGAAATTTTACTCAAAAAAATCAATAATCTTCGGGCGTTTCACACGGGGGTAGAAGGTCTTTTTAAAATATTACGCATGCGATTTAAACAGTCAGCTGGTTCATGGTGCGATTTTGAGCGCTGTTGCCAGATTGTAAAAAACTTACGTAGCACTAGCGATTTGATTGTTTTAACACAGGATTAACTCACTTGTTTCTACTTATGGAAAAATATACATAGTGTCTCACTTTAGACTGCAGTATTGTATTTATAAACTACTTAAAACGAAACAGGAGCCACTATCAAAAATGTTAATATTTTTTTATTGTAATAATACATTAGTTTAATATAGGTACATAGATACTGACTTCTCCCTAAAATATAATAAATTTTGTTGTCATCTGTTTATTAAGCGGACACATGACTATATATATAATTACTACAAATAAGATTTAACAAAACGAAAGAATAGCTCCTTTTTCGTTTTGAGAAGTAGGTATAATCAAATAAAAGTTATAGGTATCCAAAAATTTTTTTTAAGTCCAATAAATTCGAATATTGCTTTTATAAGCTGGCCATAACTTTTTATTTTATCTTTATATAAATACAATAAAAACGATTATTGGAAAATCGAGGCCACCTTGTGAGATCATTATTGTAATTTTCTGGATTTCTCTACATTTTTTTCGTATAAAATTTTTTGATAAATCCTTAATAGGTCTTCTTTAATATTGCTGTTTATTTTAAGTCTTAGTTGGCTAGTAGTTTATCGTAAAGGGAAAGTAACGTACCTTAACACTACAATTAGTACAAAATAGTGTAGTCTAAAGTGAGACACGCTCTCTACAAATTATTTGATATTTTTAACATATAAAATATATGGGAAAATAAGGCTCCAAAATTTTAAGATTGTCAATATTCAAACTTTCAATGTTTGGAAAGTAATTTTTTTCAGAATTTTTGTTTTCAAATACATTTTTGATTTGCTAACATTTGCTTATACATATCAAAGTAATTTGTGAGGAATATTATGGTGGAACAATATGGAGTGATCCAAAAAAAAATGTTTCTAAAGTAGGCCTTGCAAAAATTAACGTATGTCGGAACGTATAATGTAGTTATCACGAACATGACTCGTATCTCTGACTTTATCGGTCATGGCCTATTTTAGAAACGTCTTTTATGGATCACTCTTTACTAATACTAAAACAGGTAGGTATAAGATTGAATTAAACAATTTTGTTTTTGGGTCAAATCATTTCTTTCAAAGCACGTGGCCTTTTTACAGTTAAAATGGTTGCCTGATGATTTTGTTTGCATGAAATATGAGTTAATTTGGAAAAATCGATACTTTTGTGTTTTGTTTATTAATTTGCATTTATTTAAAAATAAGATTTGTTTGGTTTCGGAAGTTTTTACACTTGTGATAAAGGATTCAAAGTTATGTACAGTGACCTATAGACATAATACAAAAGTATCACTTTTTGACATTTTCCATTCTTGTTGAATTCATAAATTGCCGTCATGCAAATTGCTAGCATTGCTTCACTAAAACATAGAACACAAATTAGTCGATTGCAATGTATTATCTTCTTATTACACGTCTTTTACGTCTAGTACTCTAATTCAAATGTCTTCGTAAACGAAGCAACTCTTGTCGTAATTTAAATTATGTACAGAAACAAATAAGTAAACAAACGTTTATTTGTCATCAGGCAACCAATTTTGACAGGACATTGAATGCCTAAATATTATAAATAATTTATCAAGAGTATTGAGTAATGGACTTTGGGGTCTATTCTGTAACAATTCCTTTATATTTAACGGCCTTTAAAAATATTGGTGGCCTATAAAAATATGTTTGTATTCGTTAATTTACTTCTGTCATTGTTTAAACAGATTTCTTTAAGATAGTCCTCTAATGTATTTTAAAGATCCGTTTAAATAATGACAGAAGTAAAGAAGAAAATATTTTTAAAGGCCGTTAAATATAAAGGAATTGTTACAGAATAGATCCCTAAGACACTTTCTTCTGTATACACACATACCTACGGTAGCTGTAAACAATGGATTGTGGTGACTTACACAAAGAGGTAGACTATAATTTTAATTTCTAATCAGCCTATTGCTTTTTTAACTTTTAGAATGCAAATTTAACCCATCTTCTTTATCTGTTAATTAAAATAAAAAAAAATGAAAAATAATGTAAACGCAACTTCTTGAATACAATGATTAATAACCAAGATTTCAACGATTTAGCATCGGCAACGCCGCTTTTGACCATTTTTAGGCAATTTCTATTACAACGGTGACATGTTGGTCCCATATAACATTATGGAATTTGATTAAAAGAATTGATTCGGTTTTAATTTCGATACCCTTCGGACGTAGCATCGATGTTAACGCTAAAAAAATGTCGTTTTCAGGCCAAAAAAGTTGAGCTGGGAAGGTCACTTGGACTCTACGGATCAAAACAACAATATCACTATGACATCTGAAGATTTACTGCAACCAGGACATGTTGTCAAGGAACGATGGAAGGTAATCGACAAGATAGGTTGAAGTAGAATGGCTTTTGCACTAAAAAACAAAACCACTCCTAATTGCACGTAGTTTTAGTTTTTAATCTAATTTACCTGTTGTCATTGGCTAATAGTATTATTATGTTGCACTAAATTTAAAGTATTATTCACTGACTTTGAGTAGTTGTAGAAGAGTAGAAGATTTTTATTTGATTTTTATGTTTTAAAAGTAGATTTTGTGGAATACAAAATAAATCGTTTCGTTATGCCATTGTAATCCAATTGAAAAAAAAAAAAATCTCGACGTAGGTATTTTTTGTTCCATCGTTTTAAACATACCTGTAATTTTCAACTCTAGGTCCGAAAAATAGATTAATTACTTGTCCTTGACATATATTTTTTTCCTTGAGCTGTATAAATAAATCTTTTTGAAAAATGATTTCTTTAAAATGTTTTACGTCCCATATTCCATAATTATATCTAAAATTGCTAATTTTATAAGTTTGTACAATATTTTACTCAAATTTTTCTTTTTAAATTTTTTTATTACTGATCTAGTGAATATGTTCATTCCTTATTTTTTGAAACCATTTATCCACACAGCATCTTCCTATCAGGAAATGCAATTTTTTACTGATAACATTACACTCCACTGGATGTTCTCCATTTTACCCACATCATTATTATTTTCATCCCACATGCGAATCTAAACTTGTGCCATATTGCCATATGTAATAACTAGTAAGCAATACTCTCTATTAGTGATGACGTAATTTGTGTTCCAATGACAATGACAGTAGACTAAAGGTTATAGGTGTATTCATTAATATTTTGTTTTTATTATTTTCAAAATTGTATTCATTTAAACATGAATAATTTGGTTAATTGATGAATTTTAAACTAGGAACATGGACCCTTAAAGGGCTTAGTTACCGAGATACAGGGTGTTAAAACTTTGGAAATCAGAATTTAAAATTTGCCGTAAATCAAAAACGCCTCTAAATATTAATTTCAAATTTGGTGACCAATATGCTCTTTAATAAATATTGTGAAATAAACTTACTATTACATTTTTTTAACAGTGACGAGCTATCAAGGTTGATAGTAGTTTCCCCCCCTATTTTTTACGCCACTGGAAAAATATTTCTTATTTTTTTTATTATTATTTTTTATCTTTATGGAGCTCAAATGGACAGTGTCGCAGAAATTTGCTTCTAAACAAAAGTCTACATGTTCTTAATCACTTGTAAGGACCCAATATTTTTAAATTCTAATCTAGTAAGCAGGTGTCAAATTTTTTATAGTTTGTTTTTGACAAGGTCTTGGTAGAAAATCAAATTTGAAATAGTAGTTTGTGCAACAAGAGTGGATATGGACAATACACTCGAGTTGTACAGTATATTTTTTCTACGACCCACTTACGAAAATCTACAAATATTAAAAATTATTTTAGGTTATTAAGAAAAAATATTTAATTTAAAAATAATTTATAACTTTTACTAATTTATAAAATAAAATAAACAAGAAAAAAAAAGAAAAAAATCTTTTAATTTTTCTCCACCTGAGATTTGAACTCGAGACTTCCGTATGGAAGTCAAGAACCCTGACCACAGGACCATCTACACGTTTATTTTTTTTTGCTTTAATAATCGTAATTTAATTGACTTAATATAGTTTTATTTCAATTAACAAATTGTTTTTAATTATAGACGAAACAAAAATATAAATTCTATTATTTATCGATTCTACACAAGAATAACTCTTTTTAATGTATGTTTAATCTAAATAACTAAAAAAAAAAAAAAACTGATAATTAGTTTGATACAATTGTCAATTAAAATGGTAAAAATAATAGCAGTCGGTTGATCAAAATATGAACTGTGATTGCTGGATTTCATTTTTATGCAGTGTTCTCACTACCTAGAATGGATATGAAATATATTCGTTCAGTTGAAGGAAATAGCATACTTTTTCGTTTTGTAATCTGAGCGTAGATAAGCTAATATCCATGTGGATGTAGAAAAAAATATTTAAAGACGTTTCTGTTTAATGGTAAATTTTGAATTTTGATTTAAAATTTTTAACACCCTGTATCTTGGTAACTAAGATCTTTAGGATTTCATGTTCCTATATCAAAATTCATCAATTAACGAGAGCTCTCTGTGATAGAGCATTGTCGGTCGAATATACTAACACCCTCTATACAGGGTGTTCCATCTCAGACGAGCCACCCCGTATATTTCTTATCCCATAGTAATTGGAAACATTTCCCGAAACACGTCGGATGATTCTCTTTGGGGGACATCTTTTGACGTATATTTGAGGCTTGAGCGAGCAACCCCCTATGAGGGGGCGCTTCAACCCCTCAAAATTAAATAGGGAAGTGGGGTTGAGTGATACTTCATTTGTAAGGTCTTGGAAGCCTCTTTACAACGGTGTATGAAAAAAAATCACATTCTTAAAAAAATTGTTTTATCATGCTTACAATCAAAAAAATTGTCTTCCGTTGACTTCCATACAATAATAAATTCTCTCGAACTGATAAATAAAAAAAAATCAAAACATTTTCTTATCTTGCCTTCATTTTTACTTTCCTATCTGTATACAGATATAAGGAAAGTATAGGAATCATGATTTTTTTCGACCTCGAGTTTTCGACGGATTTTTACGTTTTGAGGGCCCCTGAATTCGTTTTGACTATTTTCGCGATTATGTCTGTGTGTGTGTGTCTGTGTGTGTGGGTGTCTGTGTGTCTGTCTGTCTGTGTGTCTGTGTGTCGCATAACTCATGAACAGATGCACAGAAAAACACCAAATTTCAAACTTAAGCTTTGTTCCAGCGTTTAATGAGCGGATTAGATTTTGGGCAGTGTCGGAACATCTGGGGGGGTACTTTATAGGTGGTCATTTTTATATTTTATGGAATGTATCTGTTATTTACGTTTGAGGAAGAAAATTCTTCAAATAAAAGTTACTTCTTATATTATTATCTAAAATTTTTATTCAATACAAAATTTTCCTAAAATGGTCCGTATTCGAGAAATTTGACAAAATGTAAAAAAATATTTTTTTTATAAAAATTGTTTAGACAAAAGTTGTTTGTAATATAATTCTCTATAATTTTTATCCTATACATAATTTCTCTAAAATGGACCGTATTCGAGATATTTGAGAAAATGTGTAAATTTTGAAATTTGAAGAAAACTCAAAAACGGATGAAGAAAAAAACATTAAATTTTAAACTTAATTTTTATTTCGGCCTGACGTGAAATAATTAGATTTTGGACAAAGTCGGAACATCTGGGGGGGTACTTTATAGGGGGCCGTTTTTATATTTTATGGAATATATCTGTTATTTATGTTTGGAGAAAAAAATTGTTCAAATAAAAGTTATTTCTAATATTATTATCTATAATTTTAGCCTTATGTCAAAATTTCCTGAAATGGTCCGTATTCGAGAAATTTGACAAAATGTGCAAAATTCTGATTTTTATGAAAATTGTTAAAATAAAAGTTGTTTTTCGATATCCATCTCTATAATTTTTGTTTATACATGATTTTTCTAAAATGGACCGTAATGGAAAAATTGTAGGAAAAGTGCTAAATTTAAATTTTTTAGTATTTTCATTTTCAATGAATATCTATAGAAAAATGTTTCAAGGTAGATGTACGTGGAAAATGTACATATTTATTTTATCCTCTAAACATTTATAGAGGTGTTGCAATAGGTTGAACAAAATAACCTGAAAAAGCCTATAATAACTAGATAGGAAAGTCATGTATTGGACACATCAGATTTTTTGTTCTTAGAAGGTGTTTATCAAGTTTCTTCGATCATTTCATGTGTTAAAAATCAATCTGTTGATTTAAGAATGTGATTTTTTTCATACACCATTGTAAAGAGGCTTCCAAGACCTTACAAATGAAGTATCACTCATCCCCTCTTCCCTATTCAATTTTGAGGGGTTAAAGCGCCCCCTCATAGGGGGTTGCTCGTTCAAGCCTCAAATATACGTCATAAGATGTCCCCCCCAAAGAAAATCATCCGACGTGTTTCGGGAAATTTTTCCAATTACTATGGGATAAGTGGCTCGTCTGCGATTGAACACCCTGTATACTTATTTTTTACGACATATAAACAACATTTAAAAAAAAAATAAGAGCGTTTATGTCAAATTCAATGCATGGTGAGTTTTTATACGTATCAAGCTAGCAGAGCACCTTTGGGTTTTTAACATTCTGAGTATGCCATAATTTTAGGCTCATTTTAGGCTAATTTTATACCAACATAAAAAAATTTCCGCTCCTTTCTGTACAGGAAAAATAAGGTGCTCTGCTAGCTTGATATTAAGCTAGCAGAGGACCTTTGGATTTTTAAAATTTTGATTACTCCATAATTTTAGGCTAATTTTATACCAACCTAAAAAAATTTCCGCTCCTTTCTTTATACAAAAAATTAGGTACTCTGCTGGCTTAACAACAGGTACTTATTGCGTATTTCATTAAAAACTTTAACAATGTAAAAAAGTATAACGGCATAATTTTAGGCTCCTTTTAGACTGATTTTATACCAACATAAAAAAATCCACTCAGGCCTTTATCGGAAAAATTAGGTGCTCTCCTAGCTTGACAATACGACTATATAGGGTTTCCCGTTAATAAAGTAGAGGAAACTAAAAAATCGACACGTAATAATTTTAGGTTCTTTTTAGGCTAATTCTATACCAATATAAAAGATTTCCGCTCTTGCTTTTATAGGAAAAATAAGGTGACCTAGCTTGACAATACGATTTTATAGAGTTTTTCATTAAAAAATTGAAATAACTTTAAAATGGATGTCAATATTTTAGGCTCATTTTAGGCTAATTTTATACCAACATAAAACATTTTCTGCTCCTTTCTTTAACAGAAAAATTAAGTGCTCTGCTAGCTTGATATCAAGCTAGCAGAGCACCTTTGGATTTTTTAAATTTTGATTACGTCATAATTTTAGGTCAATTTTATACCAAACTAAAAAATTTCCCGCTCTTTACTTTATAGAAAAAATTAGGTACTCTCTTGGTTTTACAAGAGACACTAATTGTATTTTTCATTAAAAAATTCAGAAATTTAAAAAATGATAACGGCATAATTTTAGACTTATTTTAGGCTAATTTTATACCAACATAAAAATTTAGTTTGCTCAATTTTATTAAAGGAAAACACTATAAAGTCATATTGTCAAGCTAGCAGAACACCTAATTTTTCCAAAAAAATGCCAGAGTGGAAATTTATGTTATGTTGGTATAGAATTAGCCTAAAATGAGCATAAAATTATGCTATTATCATTTTTTACATTGCTAAATTTATTAATGAAAAACGCAATAAGTGCCTGTTGTTAGTCCAACAGAGTACCTAATTTCTATGAAGAAAAGAGCAGAAAAATTTTTAGGTTGGTATAAAATTAGCCTAAAATTATAACTTAGTCAAAATTTGAAAAATCCAAAGATGTTCTGGTAGCTTTATTTCACCTAATATTTCCTATAAAGAAAAATGCGCAAAATTTTATATATTCGTACAAAATTAGTCTAAAATGAGCCTAAAATTATGACGTATCCATTTTTGGATTATTTCAATTATTTAACGAAAAAATCTACAAAGTCATATTGTCAAGCTAGAGCATCGAATTTTTTGGATAAGGGCCAGGGTGGAAATGTTTTTATGTTGGTATAGAGGTAGCTTAAAATGAGCCTAAAATTATGCCGTTCTCATTTTTTAGATTGCTAAATTTTTAATGAAAAACGGAATACGTGCCTTTTGTTAAGCCAACAGAGTACCTTTGAAAAATCAAAAGGTGCTAGCATATGACATCAAACTAGCAGAACACTTAATATTGTCTATAAAGAAGCGGACATTTTTTATGTTGGTACAAAATTAGCTTAAAATGAGCCTAAAATTATGACGTATCCATTTTTGAATTATTTAAATTTTTTATTGGAAAACTCTATAAAGTCGTATTGTCAAGCTAGGGCACCTAATTTTTTTCATTAAAAGCAAGAGCGGAAAATTTTTATATTGGTATAGAATTATTAGCCTAAAATGAACCTAAAATTTTGTCGTGTCTATTTTTTAGTTTCCTCTATTTTATTAACTGGAAACACTATATAGTCGTATTGCCAAGCTAGGAGAGCACCTAATTTTTTCGATAAAGGCCAGAGTGGAATTTTTTTATGTTGCTATAAAATTAGTCTAAAATGAGCCTAAAATTATGCCGTAATACTTTTTTACATTGCGGATTTTTTTAATGAAAAACGCAATAAGTACCTATTGTTAAGCCAGCAGAGTACCTATTTTTAACACGCTTTTATTAGCTTCACCTGTATGTATGTATGTTTGTAACTCTCCTTTGGATTAAAAGCAAGTGGCTTATTACTGTCAGTATATCCCACTACCTCAAGTTCGTTCGTTGGCCGAGCGGTCTAAGGCGCGGGTCTGTCGATCGCAAGACTCACCGATCGTAGGTTCTAATCCCGTCCACGGCTGAAAAAAAAAATAATATTTTTTTTCAGCAAATTTTTTAATTATTAATCGAAGTAAAAAATAAATATAGTTTAAAAAACTAAAAAACACGCTTTTGTAATACATCGAACTAAAAAGTGAAAAATAAATATAGTTTAAAAAAACTAAAAAACATGCTTTTGGAGCATATCAAACTAAAATGTTAAAAATATTTTTTTTAACACGCTTTTTCTCAAATAAGCTTAAAACAATAATAAATGGAAAATACTAGTATTGTGAAAAAAGCGTGGGGCGCTTTGTCCATATTTCTCGTACATCGAGCGCCCGTACTTCAGCCTGGAACACTGTTGCATATTCTCCTAGACTCAGCAAAATCGCTGTTTTTGACTTGGGTCCAAAAATTCCAGCACAGGCTTCTTCCTTGGCTATATCAATAGGCCGTATAGAACTGTGAGGGCACGTTATTTAGTAGTCAAAATCCATACTTTCTATATGAAAGGTTCGTATATATCATTTAATTCAATGTCCAAAACTTAAATACTTCTGCATTAACAGCACATATCCTAGCCACCTCGTTTTCACGAATATGTCTTTGCTGTTTAGCCTTTATTTAGTTGCTTATCTATTGATTCAGTCTGATCTAACTAGTAGCCTTGTTAAAAATCTATAATAATATCGACATTGTTCCTTACTTGTCACAAAATTCCACAAAAACAACACATATCAAATTTAGTTTTTTTCCCTTAATATATAACATACATTTTTCTTTCGCAATGATACAATGATATAAATATATAAATAACTAACGTGAACAGTAATTTAAATGGGCTATTGGATTTTTTAGCATACTAAAGGAGGGAACGCATTAGGCCGTCGCATCGCCGTTCGTTCTGAGCTGAGCTGATCGCGGAATAAATAAAATCAGTCTCATTTGACAATTGCTCGCGCTCTCCTTAAAATTATATAGTTTTTTTAGTTAAGAAAATAAGTTTCATGGAAAAGGTCTTTTTATTGTATCTTCTGTTTGAAGAGAAAGAAAAGCGTCAAAGAATAAAACGTTGAGAATTTATATTCATTAAATTTAGAGAAACAGGTGGAGAATGAATTTCAAATTTTATTTAGAACATATTTATTGGGCAAACGGCAATTTTTTCAGCACTTTGATGTCATATAATCATACAATCAGGATTATATAATTCCGCTTATTTTTCAACTAATACAATAAGCTTTTCATTCTCTATATTCCAGAACGGGTGAAACACATCACACAGCAATCAAAACAAATTTAAACAGTTTTACAAATTTATACCACGTGTCTATGTAGTGACGAATATTGAAGATTTACTTTCATTTTAAACAATTTACAGAATTAGCATGGTACGCAATCATGAAAAACATTTGCACTGGACATTCCCGAGCTCGTCTCGATCGCATCGTGGTCTCCCGAAATTCATTGAAGAAAATCGACGGAAAACATGATACGAGATCGAGCCTAGCTCAAGAACACCAAGTGGAAATGTATGGATCATAAAACATGGGAAAGAACTTAAGTGCACGCGGTCGAGCCGAGCGCGGTCCGCGATGCGATCGGGCCGCGACCGCCTAGTGTGTTCCCTCCTTTACACTGTCTCGTATTTTGGAGAATTCTGAAAAACATCATTTTGGACATGTGTCGTATTTTCTACAAAGTTTTCCATTATATAGCGTATCTTTTACGTTTCTCTGAGTTAGTTCAGTTAAGTTTAAACCCCTCTGACACGGTCGCATTACTAAGCGTAGCAACTCTAACAGCCGAGTGTGTTTGAACCACTCTTTACGCGGATGGCTGAATTAGTTTTTTTTGTTGTCTAGATTTTATTAAATTTCATTATCATTGTCTAAAAAAAAACCGTAGATAATTGGCCATTTGGAAACTAAAATCGTAACGTATGTTTTCAGGTGGTGAAAAAAATTGGTGGTGGTGGATTTGGGGAAATTTACGAAGGTCTAGACTTGATTACGCGCGAACAGGTTGCACTTAAAGTGGAATCTGCTCGACAACCGAAGCAAGTTTTGAAGATGGAAGTGGCTGTTTTGAAAAAGTTGCAAGGAAAAGAACATATTTGCAGGTGAGTCAGTCATTTGTTATATATCAATGACATTTAAAAATTGATTTTGTTAATATTGATAATGATGGAGTTACATTTACATATTAAATCATTATAATGTCCATCTAATAATAATAATTATGGATGTAACTAATCAAAGTAAGGCAAAGTTTATTAGTTAAACCTAGAGAATGTTTTTGACAATAGTGCGATCCGAAATATTGGTTAGTCGGTCCAAAACTAACCACTTTTCTTGACATTCCTGAAAAACCGGTTAAATTAGGGACGCGGTTACCTGAAAATAATGACTTAAACGTCAATTCACTAACCACTATATTTTTACGGTTACCATAAAGTCGAATGTCAATCTGTCACAAAAGTGACGCAACTCTCGGCAGGGGTCCAAATGTAAATAACAAAATTAGTTTTTCAGGAACCGCTGTCAAAAAAATCCTGTTTACTTACGGTTAGTAGTTGGTTAATATCGGACCATACCCTTAAAGCATAGACAAAATTGAATAGTACTTTGGCAATCGGAGAGGTGGTAAACGTCAAAACTCGTCGGATGACTTCGAGAATTTCGCGGTAGTGTTTGTCTGCCAGTGTTGTATCGTAAAATAGATTAGAATTGTGATTCGTTTTTTTCGGCATTATTATAAGTGTTTAATCGCATATAGAGTGTGAAACAGCCAAATGGAATTAATTCGGTAAAAAATAATTTTTTGATTCTTCAGAAAATTATAGACATATTTTGTGTACTATATCCTATACCAAACTGTTTCTGAAATATTAAATGTTGCAAAAATTAACAATGATAAAATAAAATTAATTGATTCCTTGGGTGAGTGGGTTCTATACGTTGTTGGATCAACCTGAGGTTGTCCAAAAAGAGCCTGTCTTTTGCGATCTAGAGCTTCGCATTCGAACAGTATGTATTTGGCCGTTTCTGGTTTCTTGTGACATAGTCAGCATATGAGATCCCCATTTTACTTGACAAATTTGTTCAAGTGTCCCTTTACTGGGGCGTGCCCAGTCATAAATCCAGTTATCACTTTCAACTGGTTCCTATTCATAAAGAGTAGTTCTCCAGTTCTTTTGGGACATGATCTGCCTATGAAGGCTTTTCCATGTGCCTGTTTTGGGGTTGATATGTTGTTCCCGATTCCAGTCGTTTATGAAACCCCGGACTGTACTTTTTGGTACTCCTGGGTTTGTATCTGGTTCCGGTGTTTCTTCTGACCCTCTTTTTGCAAGTTCGTCAACCTTTTCGTTGCCTTCAATCCCTTGGTGACATGGCACCCAAAATAGTTTTACTCTATTTCGGTCTGCCAGTGTTCTTAGTTCTTCGATTTATTCCCATACCAGCCTCGACTTAACTTTCTGACTCGATATGGCCTTAAGTGCCGCTTGGCTGTCTGACATTATTTGAATATGCTGATTTTCGACAGCTCTTTCATTGTTCGTTTTTGCACATTGCAAAATTGCGTTTACCTCGGCCTGAAATACCGAGGAATGTATTCCAATAGCATAGCTATGGTTAGTATCAGGGTTTTTGGAGAATACTCCCGCCCCAGTGCCTTCCGCAGTCTTAGACCCGTCTGTATACCAGGTTTGTTCCTGTCGTTGAGCATTGGGCTCCCTTATGGTGATCTCCGCTCTTTCCTGTATTAAAACCTCAAATAAAGTATTAAAAGAGTGGTTATGTGGTCTGATCTCATGTCTAGCACGTCTCCTGTCACTAACCTTGAGATACTCATGTGACCTGGCCTAATGTCAAGATTTCCCAGTGTATTCCCTAATTTGTTAGCCCCTGATCTTTCCTTCCCTTGTATCACATAGTGAAGAGGTGGGAGTCCTATTAGTGGTTCCATTGCAGCAGTGGGGGTTGTTTTGATTGCCCCCGTTATTCCAAGGCAAGCAAGTCTTTGTACCTTGCTTAGCCTCGTTATTGCTTTCCTTTGCTATGTCTTTGGCCACCACACCAAAGCTGCATATGTTATTATCGGTCTCACCACCATGTTATAAAGCCAATATACCATGTCTGGTTTTAACCCCAATTTTTTCCAAAGGAGCGCCTTGCCATCATTAAGGAGGTTTCTGCTCTCCTTGTGGTTTTTCTAGATGCTGGTTCCAGGTAAGCCTCGAGTCAATCATAACCCCAAGATAATTTACCTCCCCCTTAAGCTGGATGCTTGCACCTCTTAGGTTTAGAGGCCCTAGTCTCTCCAATTTCCTCCTGCAGGTGAATGCAATTATGTCAGATTTGTTTGGGCTAATCTTTACTTCTTCCGCCTCTGTCCATTTTGTTACTATATTTAGAGCCTCTTGCATTCGATCTCTTACTATTATAGTGTTGTATTTTCCCTGTGCCATGATCACTAGATCATCGGCATATCCCAGGGTTATATGTCTCTTATCTTTGAGAGCCCTAAGCAGCCCGTCCACTACAAGGTTCCACAGGAGTGGAGACAGCACTCCACCCGGCGGACATCCTCTCGCTACCCGTGCCGCTATTGTCTCTCCCATAAGGGTTGTGTGTACAGTTCTCTCCCTTAACATAGAGTCGATCCAGGACACGCACGTGTCTTCGATTCCTTTGTAATTGAGGGATCTAATGATCGATTCAATGGAGGTATTGTCAAATGTACCCTCGATATCCAAGAATGCTCCCAGCATTACCTCCTTGTTTTCCAGTGTGTTCGTCCCTTTTATTAATTGATGGAGAGCTGCTTCAGTTGATTTCCCTGCACTATAGGCGTATTGGTCTTGGTATATTGGTCTCTGAACCAATATCCCGTCTCTAATATGCCTATCTAGCAGTTTTTCTAAAGTCTTAAGTACAAAGGACAGAATACTTGTTGGTCTTAGGGACTTTGCAGTTTCCTGTCCTATTTTCCCAGGTTTTGGTATAAAAGTTACCGGGGAATTACAGTTACTTTTCGAGCACGGTATTCATTCTATAATTCAAAAGTACATAAAAATACCACTGATGCCATTGCGATGTCGGAAACACGATTTTCCGGCTCTTACCGGCCATTTTCCCGGCCCGCACGGGGAATTCCAGTTGTCTGTGAACTTTTCGACCACAAACCCGACTTTGGCTTTAGAATGCACCTTCAACCACGCCTCATCTCGGAATCCACCTTTCAGGCCATATCGAGGCCATTTTTGGCCCCTGGGGCAAATTCCAGACGTGGAGAGCCATTTCTGAGCTCGGGATCGTATTCAGCGTCGAAAAATACATGGGAATACATATGTCCGACCGTCAAGTCTGAACACTTTTTTTTATTTGTGGGGCTGTGTTATCTAACATTGCCATCATTTGTTCACAAAATTCCGTTCTCCTATCAAAATCGTCTTTCATGAGCTCCTGAGTTGCTATTATTTTATAGGGATGCATTTTGTTTTCTTTTAATGTTCGAATAATTGATAAATGGCTAATATCGAACATTGTCGACTAAAAGTATGTGGGTTTTCCTGAAACTCAAAGCATAATATCCAATTTGGTACCATTAGTTATTGCATTGGCAGCTGTTTTTTTGTCTGTCTTACATGTCCAAGCTCGCGAAACTGCTTCTCTACTTCACTAATTGTCTCTAGGGATATACGCGGCAAATTTGGAAAATTTTCATGAAATAAGCGAGCAACTACCATTTGTGCCCGTGTGTTATCTCCATAACCAATCATCTGTAGAATTGTTATTTATGTATATATTTCTATAGGTATAGGACATAGCACATAAAATATATCTACAATTTTCTGAATAATCCAAAAATTGAAAAAATAAGAAAGTTGATATTGGCCACTGTTACATGACACACCCTGTATAAAAAGTTTTTGTTAAACAAAATGCATATCTAAAAATACCAATCGATATATCCGAGCGTTTTTCCGAACACGCCCCCATTTATTTATTACCGATATTATTCCATTTGGCTGTTCCACACTGTATGTATCGGCTAAAAATAATTATTTAAACAAGTATTGTATTAAAAAAGTACAATATCAAGCTGTGCAATATCCGAATCCCACGTGACGTATGTGTCAACTAGACAATTCAGATGGCATTTGATCGCTAAAAAGAACCATTTTCATTCGATTTCTTGTTTTACCAGATCTCTTGAGTAACGGGTATTATATTTATTTCAATCTACCTTCCTTAAATACATTTTTCTACACCCGTATTATAATAATGCACTTATATGCCCATAATCCGTTTCATAATGATACCCATTATGATACAGATTTTTCATTACGATACAGATTTTTAATCAATAGAAACCTACTATTTTTCAATCAAGCATGCTGTTTAACGTTTGTCCTAGGTTTCTATGTAATTGTTTTAGTTGTCAAAACGTATTAAATTTTCGTAGATAGCTAAACTTCGATAATTATAATATTAAAATGTCTCATATCAGCGATATAGAAGACTCTTCCACACATATCGGAGAAAGCAGAAAATACAGTACAAAATATTTTGCAGCAAAAATCTAGGGAAATACCAATACCCGAAGTAATACCATTAATTACAATTTTGTAGAATTTTTTATAGAAATACGAGTAATTACTGTTATTGTGTTCAATACCAATATAAATATAATATTTATAGGTCTTGATTATTTATCGGGTGTAGAAAAAATAGCGTATGCAACTCTCATGTAATGGTTATTAAAACACTCGCATAGACCATACGAAACTCGCCTTTGGCTCGTTTCGTATCCCGGTTAATGCTCGTGTATTAATAACCATCATTACATGATCGTTGCATAATATACTATTTTTTTAACAAGCTAGAAATATAATTCAATATGTATAAGCCATTTCGACGATTATGTCGAGTATTTTAACACTAACATACGAAATAAAGTACACGTAAAGCATGACCAGTGGCAGCGCAAAATCGTCGGCATCATATGAAAATTGCGTAAATTTTACAGTAGGCGAGAAAAATAGTTTTACCTAAGATTAATTATAATACTAATAGTTTTTTTTTGAATCATGTTTGTTACTTTGGATAATTT